GACAGACAGAAATCTCATCAAGCTCAAACTGTTTTGCATCCCTATGGATGAGTGTGGAAGGCTGAAACTGCAGTTTCATCAGTCAGCTACACTACTCAGCATTTTGGCAGAAATATTGAATTGCTGTATGTAGGCTGCAGTACTAAATTTCAGTATTCCCTGACCTGCAATTTCTTATGTTGCTGCTTCTACTGAAAAACCAAAAGTCTGGCAACTCTTAGTCATATTTAACTGAAGCTGGAAAAGGCACTCTGTTGTACTATAATGACAAAATTTTCTAAATTGAAGAGAAGGTGGCACTGAACTTAAAATTTCACAAATTAGCTTCGGGCTGCTGTACATTTTCAAACATTTCGTCTTATTGTTAGATACGGGTTAGGGATGACCACACCTGTGCTCTTGCAGTAGAGATTATTCAGCCCCTGTTTTTTTTTCTGTTCCATTAGAAATACTGAGAACTGACCTGATGATGCCAAGAGCAATGTTAATGAAAGTTGGCCTGTTCTGAGCAGGGGGTTGGACCCGCTGCCCTCCAGAGGTCACTGCACACCTCAGCTGTTCTTTGGTTTTGAGCAACAGCGACTGCAGCGTGTCTGCTGGACCATTCAAACTGATGGGGACCTCAGGAGGTCTCCAGACCAACCCCCTGCCCAGAGCAGGCTCAGCCACAGGGTCAGGTCAGGGCTCAGGGCATTATCCCGCAGGGGCAGGAAACCTTCCAAGGAGAGACAGCTCCACCTCCCTGGGCCTGGCCCCGCCCAGCTGTCCTCAGACAGAAAAAACTTTTCACTGTCTCCAGCCTCGCTGACCTCCAGGGCCTTCTCCACAGAGCTGCCCTTGATCTCGCCAGCATGGCTGCCAGGGCTCTGCCTGCCCAGGGCAGGGCTGCCCTTTCTTCTGCCTCAAGTGCGTAGGGGCCCTGTCCTTTCCTCCCACCAGTCCAGGTCCCTCTGGACAGTAGCCCTGCCCTCATCCATATTGACTGCTCCCCTCCCCAGGCCTGGTGTAACCTGTACACCTGACAGGGTGCACCTTTCCAGTCATGGACAGAGACGTTAAACAGGACAGGCTCCAGGACAAACCCTGTGGGACCCTATGGGCCACCAGCCTCCAAGCAGATATGACCCAGTGGCCACCACCTTTAAGCCCAACTGCCCAGTTAGGTATTTACCCGTAAGTGGGGCACCCTCCCAGACCCTAACATCCAGCCTGGATATAGACACTGTGGGAAAGTGCTGGAAGCCCTGCTGAAGTCACCCTAAATGATATGCCCTGTTCTCCACTTATTCACAAGCCAATCATTTTACCACAGAAAGCAATGAGATGGGTGAAGCATTACCCATTCTTGGTGAAATCACACTAACAGCTCCCCATCACCTTCTTCTCTTTCATGTGGCAAGACACATGCTGCTCCAAACGGGTGCATGCCATGGTTTTCCCAGGCATCTGAGTGAAACTGGTCAACCTGCAATTCCCCAGACTCTTTTGGCCCTTTCCTAGTTGTCAGGGACCTTCCAGACAAGGAAGGAACATCTAAAAGAAAGGAACAATTACCAGTTGTCATTTTCTATTTCTACTATCTTTTGCTTTGAAAAGCTGCCCTATGCTAATCAAAAGTTAAAAGTTCTTGCAGGGTAGCTCTGTTATTTTAGTTACTTACTCGATGGTCATTGTCAGGACTGTGTCTTTTTATACTTCTGAACTTTAATTGAAGTCCTCTGTGTTTGAGACCTCTGGACATGCATATGAGTAGCATGGCTTTGAGAAGCGAGAGAATTACTTCCTTTAACCAAAGTATCACATGATCGACCTTGTAAATAAGGACATGTTGCTGTGGAGTTTCCTTGGTGCTTTGCCCAAGAAGGTGGTAACAGTGCATAGCTCTATGCCAGGACAGAGGTAAATCACACAACTGCATGCTACTGAGGCATAGACCTATGTATGCCTCCTACTGGTTGAAGAGAGGACAGAATACATTCTTTGTAGGCACTGCTAGACAACAGAGGTGAGCAACATGCCTGTATGAGATAGCCCTCATATTTTGGACCACCTTTTTTTGTCTTCACAGATCTAAGAATAGGAAGATAAATATTTTCTAACACCTTCTGCCAGCAGAGAATGGAGTGTAGCCGTCCTGGCACTTTGCACTGGTGTGTCACACTGGTGGCCAGGGATAAGAACATTATTGAAATACCCATTTTGTGCTGGAATAAAACTGACATTACGACATACTGATACATAGACTGGGAATACCTTCTGCGGACCTAACAAATAAGACATTCCAGAGGATGTCCTTCTGTGCTACCTTTATAGGTATGCAAAGACCAGGAATCAAAATCAGGGAAAATGTGCTACTAAAAATGCTCTACTGCCCCTTCAAATCCAACTGAAGGAAATAAACTTGCCCTACTCTTTTAACTGCATGGAACTAAAATCCTGAAGAAAGGTATTCACTGACTGAAAGATATAAATGAACTCCTTAAAACACTTCTAAATTCTCACATATAGGATTAAAACCTTTTAGAAGTAGAGGCTGAATTCTTATTTGAACATATCAGATGCATAGCAAGTCACACTACGCTCAGCTTGAAATGAGTAACTCTGTAACAAAGGAACTAAGTATGTGACTTTCTATCAATGACAGTCACCATCTCAGCATAATTTTAATTTAATAAGAAAAATATTTATTCTTTATTTCAAAGGATAGATAACAATGACTCTATCAGATACAGACGATCTATTAAAAAAATCAGCAGCAATTAAAGTCAAAAATTGTGCATGAATTTTATTAGAATACTTTGTTTCCTGAGCAAGATTTACCACACAACATGCAGGTGCATTTAATATTTACTTCACTATACATTCCGCACTTGTGACAGTGCACTTGTGACAGTTGTGCAACAAAAGTAGCAAGTCAGAAAGTTCCCAGCTTTCAGTAATTTCAAAAACTGACAGCATCTTCAGTAAACAGAGATTTACTGTTACTAGTGTCCTTGTTAAGTTTCCCATGTCTATCATGATGAAGTGATTAATTTCAGCAGCACATTTAAAGCTCTTTAGACTTCAACACAGCTTCTACATTAGAATTTTCAGCAGTGTTCATTAAATTTATTTCACAATTTTAGACATGAGAGTAGAAACAGCACAATCAGGCTCTTTTCCAATGGATCAAATGATTGAAAACACAGAAGGAAATAATAATAGTAGGAAGACAAACAATCTCAGCACAAGTAACTTCTGTCAGCACTATTCTGACAAGTTCTTTTGATGAAGCACTGAGTTTATTGCAAGAGTCCTACATACATGTACAGGAAAAAATGGCTCCACAAAACATAATTATATTCCACCAGGTAATGCTGATGATGTTTATTCACAAAAATGGTGTGCAGCTGAGGCTCAACTTCATGTCTTTCAGAAGCTTTAAATATTTAAATGTAAGTCTTTGTCTTTCAAGAAATATAAAGGAATTCTGGACATTTAAATAAAAAATACTATTTCTTTTCAAATCTAAGTATCCAGCATTTCAGGAAAAGTTGTGAATCTAACTTTTGTTAACTTGTATGCCTCACTGCATGAAAGAGACGCTATAAAGCTATGTTGAAAACATAAATATGTTCACCAAGGAGTATTACAAACAATTTAAGCAATAAAGCAACAGTGGCTTCTCCAATCACAAGTGCAGCAATTTCACAATGAACACTGAATTACGAGGTTATGCTGAAACATTACACAAATACACTTCTGCGTTTGTCCAAAAAGAGCAGAAATACAACAACATGCAGTACAGATGTACCATTGATTTCAGTATAATACACACACTCCATGTGTCAAAAATAAAAAAAAATTAGTCTGGATTCACCTGACACCACACTGTTCTAAATGTTACTGAGAAAGAAACGTTGAAGCATACAAACAGAAAATGTGGTTTTATTTTCAAGGAAGGCAAAGTTGGAGATGTGCTAAAATGAACTAAGAAGTTTCGCAAGATTATTGACTAGGATTGACTTAGTAAAATGCTGATCACATTAGGTTATAGCTGTGCTCATCTCTGAATTAAGGATTACTAAATACATTAACGCAACATCAAAAAAACCCACCAAATACTGTTGTGTCTTTTAGTTTGGCTATCATCTTGGTGTTCTTAGGGAAGGTTTAATACTTTAATCTGAGCCTTACTCTAACTGACAATGGAAAAACCAGCAGCAGTTTACATACAATGACTGGTAACAGCTGTTGAATGACAAGTTTTCTGGTTTTTGTTTTTAAAGAGCTCAGTTATGCGGGATCACTGAACATTTCCCTGCAGGATGGCCCAACAGTCTGTTACAGAGTATCCTGGGTTGGCACTTACATGCAAAAAGCTGCTTAAATAATGACGACATGCAGAGTGCTGCTATTTAAAATGCTAACAGTCAACAGTTTGCACACAAGAATAGCACTTTGTAGTATATTAAAAATTCCAAGCATATTTAAATGCTCTAAATGAAAGACCCACTAGTGTTAGAAAAGAGATGAGTAAAGATATATTTCAGATTTGTACCACGTAAGTAAGAACAAACACTTTCAAAAATTCTGTGAAACTCTTGGAAGGCTCTTGTTCCGCAACTTCCATGAATAGAGAGCTATTGTTTTCTGTGGAAATACTAAAAATACTGACATAGCAGAACAGTGTAAAACTGACACACCTGGAGGAAGTTTCTGGGGAAACAGAATTAAAATGGTTCCCTTTTTCGTACACCAAAACTTGTAAAATTTATCTACTATGCCCATATGGCAAAGGAAGCTCTGGTAACATTTACTTAATATCATGCTTGTCTAGCTAAGTTGATACTACCCCTAAGTGATCCCCTCCTGCTTGAGACAGACTGTAGTGTGACTGTGCTCCTAATGCTCCATCCTCAATCAAGGCAATGATTGTCACAAGTGTGGTGGTCACACTGAGAGATTTCTTTTTGTGCCATGCAAGAGTGCAATGTTACACACCTTAGCAGTGGAGAAATTTAAAACGTCATGAGCATATCACGTTCTTGTACACTGGTGTAGAATGGCTTCCCAAAGATAAAGGAATGTAGACCTGGTTTAATCTTCTCAGCTAAAGCCATTATTATGTTAAGATCGCCCTCTGCTGTCAAATCAAGATCTATCTTTAAGCTACGAAGAGACTTAAACGGTTTTTTTCCTTTTTGCCTGCAAGAAAATAAAAAGGGTGTTGTAAAAAAGAACAGAGTAAGTTTCTCAAATTCTGCTTTCTATTATCTGTTCACTTACGTGTCATCCTCTATGTATTTTATTAAAGTTAAGGCTTTTCTGTGAAGGACTAGCAAAAATTGTGCAAGGAAAGTGCTCCTTAGAGACAAGCCAGGCTTTAGATGAAAGATCTGTAAAAAATTATACCAGAAAATTAAGTAGACATGGAAAATCACAAGTAATTTTAAGAATAAGGACTATAAACAAACATTTCATACAAAAGTAACAAATCCTTAATTATACTAAGTCAGGCACATTAACAGCAGATTTATAGATATACTCAAGATTCTTTCTTAGTTTTCTAGCTGCTCAGATGCAATGAATTAAGCTGGTTTACAATTCTGTTTGGATAAAATATTATTTTCCTTTTTAAAATGATCTTAAATGAATCCTAGTCAGGTAGCTTTCTCAATACTGTAATTGTAGACATGTTTGCATAGCAATAGAAAATGTGGATTGTTTTTCATATGTAAGGTGTTTCAGTATTATGCTACAACTAACACAAGTATTTTTCTCTCTAGTTATGCAGAGAAGAATCACAGCACCAGTACAAAGAAGAGCCAACAAGCTAACAAATTATCTATGCATATTAAATGATCTGTTACTAGGGATCAAAGTACTGAACTTAAATTCTTGCTCTTTCTGAAAAAAACAACAATTACCTGATCCAGGAAGGCTTTTACTAATGTATCTCGATGTAGGATATCTTGAAAGACATTTCTATAGGACAGAAAGCAAACAAACATGTGATGTCATGACATGAAGGGACACTAACTGTCCAGCAGCTGTGCACAGCAATAGCATTACTGTTTACAGTCTGGCAGAAATTAAAAGGGAATTCAAAATTTTAGTGAATTATAATCCTGGTATTTTTAAAGCTAAAACAGAATTTTAAATCAAAACTTTCAGATGAAATTAACTAATCCCAGGAAAGCCATTGGGCCCTGTCAAATACACTTAACTCTGTCTTACTCCTTATTAAAACAGGCAATAAAATTAACGTAGTGATCTGCTAAATTCCTCCAAAACAAATGCAACTACTGGAACCGAAGGAGCTTCTTAAAACCAAAAAACCCTCAGGTACTTGATTTGAAAGTACACTTTGCACTACTTTATTCTCTTGCCCCGAATCACGTAACTTTGACAGATTTGAGAAAGGAGTACATACAAATCAGGTGTGAAACTCTCATCTGTGTGGATTATATGATCTTGAGACATTTCTTCATCTGAATTAGCTCTCCAAAATGCTGTCAGCTCAGATCGCATATATCGTCGTTGGTTATAGATGTGTTCATGACAAGGGGGCATCTGCTTCACTGTATTGACATCTACATCTATATGTGTAGTGGGATATGGGGCATACATTACTTGACGGAAGGGCAACACAAAGCTTCCTGTTGCATCCTGTTTTAGTGAAAAAAAATTAATTCTACTAGTTACTTTAAAAAAACTAAATAAACCCCAAAGCTATATTGGAACAAAACAATAGTAAAGCATCATGCCTAAATTTTAAATCCCGTTTGTTTAGAGATGTTTTGTTTGAGAAAACTGGTGGTTGAGGCCCAGTAAGAACTCCTTTATACTGGATGATTCCCTTAATGTGACAGTGAAAACAGGTACTGAAGTAACTTGCATCATCAAGTTCATCAGCCTATTAACATTACAGCATTATATTTATCTGGTAAGTTTAAACTGCTCATCAGAGCAAGAAGCATTATTTTTCTATTCACCTTCACCCATTGCTACAGCCCTTATAAAAGGCTTGGAAATGGTAGGACTGATGGACTGTTCTTTTGTTAGTTTTGGCACAACACAAAAATGTAATGCCTTTTGGGATTCTAGCCCCAAGTAGGCAAAATAATATTATTATTGTACCTCAAAGTATAGGAACAATTCTGGGCAATACTCAAGAAACAGATGTGTCAGAGAAAAGACTGACCTGGAATTTTAACATGCAAATAGTCACAAGGAAAGCTAATAGCGCAAAAAAGGAAGCAAGGTATGATGACATAGTTCTTTGAGCATGAATGTGTGTATGCACGTGCATATCATATGCACATACATACACATACATTGAAGAATGTTCTTAAATTACAGAAGAATAGAAACTTCCTAAGCATACTTACTTTGAGTAAGCCTTGAACAAAAAGTCCGGACTCATATTTGAAAGAAGACTCACTTCTACAGAGTCTGGAACACTTCCGCTCTGATGGCGTAAGAAACAGACACAATGTTCTCACAATCTGCATTAAAAAGAGCAGTTTGGACAGTTCTTTAATGAAAAACATGAAAATGTAAGGAATAAACTGATCTTCAAATGATGAACAAAATGTTCATTGTGCTTATTAGAAAAGCCAAAATGTTACCAAGGTCACAGAATAGTGACATACTTAAATTACTAAACTGCAAGCTATATTACTCCAACTTCTTGTCAGATGAAGAAAAGATCCAACACTTTCTGGAAAAGTTTTTTAGCCAACTATGTAGAACAAATCACTTTTGTCTTCTGCTCTTTCTATTACATAAACATGAGTTACTGTGATTAATTTCCTAACCTTTTAAGCCTTTTATGTTATTCATTCCATACTGAAACAGCAGCTGTTGTCTCCAATCAGGCACAGTCAATTTCCTAAATAAGTATCCATGCTTATTTCCTCAGTAATTTCCTCAAACTCCTCATTAAAAGCAACAAAGGTACTTCACTATGCGTTTTCAAACTCCTGTGCTGCAACAGCTACAAGTAATAATCTCCAAATACAAACATGAATTCCATTCTGCTAATCTTTCAGTCTTAACCTGTGGCGTCCTATCTGTGGCTGTCAGGTGTCTGAGAAGGCTCTATCCTTGCACAATCTGTTTATGCAGTACCTAAAGCAATGACAACCTAGTTTCTGACTAATGCTTTTCACCTCTTCAGAGGGATGCAATAGGTGTTTTTTAACTTTAAGCAAAGCTAAAGTATGCCATAAAGAAAGCAAATACTTCAGAACAGTTGCTCTGTGACACAAAAAGCACACTGCTGGTAAGAACCTGTGTAGAATGTATATTTACCATGGATGTATCACATTCTTCTGTATTTTTTTTCCTACAGTGTCTAGCTTATCAGTACATTATTAACCATTTAGACCTTAAAGACCTTTAATTAATTATTTTATGAACTATAAACTTTAACCATTTTAAAGCCACTTAAGCCTTTAACATTTCCCCTATTTAACTGATTCATAAGCAAATCTTACACTCCTGAAACAATACATATTAACTGTGGTCAGCTGATTTCAGCTACGAAATGAGAATTTTCTTTACACTGGTTCCCCTGTTGCTTGCCATTATTTTTGAGTATCAGCATTTATTGTTTATTTGATGAGAGGTGCTTTACCATTTACCATCACTGCCAATACATATGAAACAATGAATTCCTCCAAAAAATTTTATAAAGCATTACTAAGTGCTTCTTTCAAAACACAGGTTTACTGAAGCTACCTTGCATTTTTAAAAAAGAGTACTACTGTATTTCACTGCAGGAAGAAGTCCTATATATTATAAAATACATGTTATATGTGTAATTTACAATTAATATAGAATATATTCAGCAGGGCCACTGTTCTTAATTTTTATTTCACTTTGAAGCAACACACACATACATATATCACACAGGCATCAACTTCGAGAATTAAAATGAGTTTTTCCTCAAAGGAAGTTTTCAGGCTTCCAAAATAAAGCAGAGCTCAGTAATTGGTACATCACAATTAAATACATTTAATGGCAGAAAAGCCCAATATACAAAACCATTCCTTATCAGAAAATGAAATTATATTAATATTCTCCACATGTACCATTTTAAGACCTTTGTCATAGTCTCAGGATAAAAGACTACTGTTATTGCATGGCCCTGAGGTCCCAGTGTAAATTTAAAACTTACAATGCTACATAACTACACAGAGCCTTAAGTCTCACAGCAGTACAGGTATACTCATTAAGTGCAGTGCTGCCTAATACCTGAAGGCTCTAAGATTGCTTTTGATTTCACTTTTATGAAATGCTTCTTTTCATTCCCAGTTGCAGGGATATTCTGAATCACAGAGATTTATTAAAGGACTCAGCCATGAATATAGAGAGGCAACTTCTTTAGTGAAATACATATTTTCAGAAAGAAAACAACATTTTCTCCATAATTTGTCTCTGAATATCCTAAATGAAAATTAACTGCAGTGTTTTTATTAGAGTAACATCCTAATTAAACACAAGTCAAAGGGAAATCTGAACAAAATACTCATAACACTGCACTATGCTAAAAAGAAATATGCTTTAAGAAATATTTAAATGGACAGTAAACACAAGCATATCTCTTCCAGGAGTTGCTTTTAATATATCTGAAACTAGTGTTTTGGTATAATCAAGAATCTGTACACAAAAAAGTACTTGGAGAATGCTGCATAAGGAAAACATCCTCATTTGATTTTTCCTTCACGTACTGAGTAAGTTTGATTTAAGCATCAAGAAACTCTCAATTTATACCAAAATATTAGAGGAGAAGGAATGCAGGTGATGTTTTATATTGGTTCAAATTAAATGCTTCATAACAAGGTTACAAAAGAGTTAAAAATATTAACAGCATGAGAAAACATGTCAACCACAAAAATGCAATTTTTTTTGTTCTGAAATGACAGCTTCCAAGAGTCATCTTTTTTCCTCACAGACTATAACAATGTATATACTTTTGCCCCTTAAGAGGTACAGCTAATTCTGCTTATTGCTTCTACCCACTGACAGCTGAACAGGGCAAGCTAGTTCAGACCTCTTCAATTTGTACATTTTAGCTAACAAACCTAATTTTGAAAGCTCAGACTCATTTACAACTTGTTTATGTACGGTATTAATTAAACACAATACACTGATTTTTGTACAGTTGCCAGAATACAACTGATAAAGCAATTTTCAGGCAGAATTATCCACTGCTAGACCAAACAGCTAAAGTAAGATAACCAAACAACAGTATTCCTTCCTTTCTGAACCTCAAATATGTTTACAGATAAACCTTGTTCCAAATGACACACTAACCCTCCTAATAATCAGCATTTAAATATGGTTTATTAGAAAGTACATTACCTTATTAACTTTTTCTGCGCTGCTTCCTACAACTACAGAACAACCACAGGTCTGCAGGTGTGAACTAATTGCACTGCAAATAAAAGCAAACACAGGTTAACACATTTCATCAGACTTTTCAAATGAAACAGTTACCATCTTCACAAGAATGAAGTGTTCCTTGTATATAGGCCCATACCCATAGGACCTCACACAGCTGTTACTGCTGAAATTCAAAAGTATAACTGTATCTACATTTTCATTTTATCTTTATCATTTATCATTAATCCATTCCATCATATTAATTTCCTTACTTCTCAAATTCTCTACGGAACTAAAGAATACTTCATTGTGAAGAATTAGTTAATTTAACACATAAATTTCTGTACTACTGCTTTCTAAATAGATGGTACTAAGCACTACATAAATGAATGCAGTTATGCCAGAGATGTTCTGAAGGGTAACAGAACATCAATTAAAATCTATGAAATACGCTTTCCCACAGGAAGAGACCAAGTTGCTCGAGTGCAACTAGTTCCACTTGTACATTAAAAACAGGAGGAAAGAGATATTCACAATTTAATAATAAGCATTCTCTACACCATACCATTAATAACTCTGTACAAAGTTTATGCAGTAAACACAATCCAAGTTTTTTATTATTCAATAAAAATGTAAGACTTTGACTTATATCCTCATAAAATTAAATACAAGTATAAAGGAAAAATTATATTTGATAGGAATTCTATTACCAAGCAAATGACTCTGTGACAATACAGTCTATAGGAATACAGCTATTAACCAAGAGCCATGCTTCTAAAAAGAGCAACTTCTACAGCATTTTGTAGACAAAAATCTCAAAAAGCCAAACACATATCATCCCCTCTCCTATAAAGAAAACTAATCTAATACATATTCTAATACATATAAATATATCCTGACACAAGTCTGAACCATTTTACTATGGCACAAATTAAAACGGAAATTCATACTTGAGAAGAAAACCTTCATGGCAGCTATCCCCAATATCATCATCATTTAGCACTGTGTCACTTATCTGTAATACAAGTAAATACAAACAAAGGTTAGACAAGGATTTGCAACACCTTACAATTAATTGATTTTTTAAAATTTTTTTAATGATAGGTAGAAAGTGTTTGGGAACTATTTAAGCTAAGTTGTAAGACTACCCAAAAAAACACTACAAAGATGTTCTAACTTCAGTCAAAACATTTTGAAAATGAGAATGTCAGGCAATTACTAAATTTTCTTCACCAGTCACAAGTCAGATTCCTGTGGTTTTTTTCTAGAAACTTGTCCAAAACACTTTAAATTAGTATATTTGAGATCACTTCTACTTCTTTCATGAGAACACTAAACTATGCTGAAACATGTATCAACATTAAAACCACTGACCTCTCTATTAATTTTGTTTTGCATCAAATAGCCTTTCCACTCCACTCCTAAAAACAGTATCATCCTACACTGTCAATTTTGATAAGTGCTGACCATAAAACCACAGCTAATAGTGTTATATTTACAGAACTACAACAGTTATGTTAAACCATTCACTATACCTCTTAGGATAACCTGATATTAAACAACTGACATGGTCAAGAATTTATGACAACTGTGGGGTTTTGTCTGTCAAAGAGAGTATCGAACCAGAGTGACAAAACCATTTTTTAATTCAGAATGCAAAGAACACGAGGACTTACATCTATTTCTTCTGGAACACTGTGTGATTTCATAGATGAAAGGAGTTCCATTACAGGAATGACTTCTCCTGTCAGCATTGGAATGATGCTCTGGCCCTGTGCAGTAAATAAAATGCTTAAAGTAAAAGTGCATTTTGTACCATTAGACATTACTAATGTCAATTTGCAATATTACACGAAAAACATCTTTAACTTCCTATTGTTTGGAAGTGTAGTATAAGCAGAAATTGGTGCATAGACTTCTTGGGCTTTGCTCATCAAAAATTATGAACTGGAAACGTATTTTCTCAACATCATGTCTAAAATGTATTTCCAGTGGCCTATGCTAATTTTCACAATTAGCTTGGCTGATCTAAACAAGAAGTATTTGAAGTGAGACTCATTTGATCCTACCATATTATATGAAATTACTCTTAAGCATTTTAGATCCAGGTGTGATGGTTTAACAATGACAGGAAACCAAAATGAGGCATACTAGTTATTAACATACAAAATTACTTATCTGTCACAAGAAACTGAAGCCACAATTTCATATCTACAGTTTCCAAAATCAAATTCTTTTCACTCTTATCCATTAGGTCTCCAACCACATTCCACCACGACAGACTCCATATGTCTCCATAACTCAAAAAGGTAATGGCCTAGTGAAAAACTATCCTTGATAGGAGGCGAGCATGAATCTATGGAAGCTACTACCTTTACAGAGCTTCAAGTTCAAGTAAAGACTTTCCTTTTCTGCAAAGTAATATTCTTCATAGATTTCCACTTTACCCATGAAGTGATGAAATACATTTAACTTGTTCACAGCTTCCATCATCCTGTCTTCAGAAACTTTGCCTCCTTTGCATCGCACATCATCAGCCAGTCCAAAGTATCTTCCTGGATCCCAAAAAGCAGCAGCAGCACCAACTTCTACAGTCACCAGATGCAGTCAAATAGTTGTGTGATGCTGAACCATACACGTCAACCAGAAGGCCCTTACCTGATCCTCCATTCTCTCCGTGCCTTCCAAGACAATCTTCTGGAAATGTTCTTGCCTCTCCTGAGCAAGAGAAGCAGTTAAATATAAACGCTCTGGTATCTGTCTATATATGTATGCACACAACAGTCAAATGGTACAGTTTCTTCCCTGTGGAGTCAAGCTTCTTAGAGTCAAAGTTCGATGTTCAAGTCTTTTCTTTTACAGAGTTGACATTAGAAGGAAGTGATGTCATTTCAAAAAGACCAGTGCTCCCTGCTCTGCTCCCCACCAAACCTCTCACATGCTTGGGCAGGAGTAGCAGAAAAGGGAGGGTGTGATGACAATGACAAAACATTAAGTGTCTCCATTACAGATCACAAAAACGCCAAATGATCAGATTATGGTGTAGAATTCAACTTTATGTATGGATTTTTATTTTCAAATGGATAAGGTACAGACTGATGGTTCCTGATGTAACAAGAGAGAAATGAGATCTCCAGAATGAGAAAAAATATTTTTTTGGGAAGGGTAGAAAAAGAAGGACTTTTTTCTTTTTTTTCTCTTTTCCACATCTTTAGACACTGACAAGTCTTCAAAACACTGCTTTATAACCAAGTACAGGAGACATGAAACCTCAAAATACACAGAACACAATGTACAAGAGACTGGACAAAGTTCTCAGACTCATAAGCAGCTAAGTAGCAGACTGCATTCAAAATGCAACTTACATGGAAATCAAGTTGTTATTCAGAAAGATAATTCAGCATTAATCACTGGAACAATCAATACAATACGCAAAAACTGGCAGATGCTGCAAGAGCTAATGATACCTTTCGCTAGATGCTGACAGGTTATTGCATCTTTACTGGTCACTCAATTTCCTGTGACTGAACTATTCAAAGTTGATCAACTTCAAGTGGGTAAAAAGTTTACATAGACTTTTTTAGCAGATCAATAGGGAATAAGCTACACTACCTTGCCATGAAACTTAAAAAAAAAATAAAACTTGTCTAACCATCTCAAAGCAGCATCTGTGAAAAAAAATACTGGAATGAGGCAGATTCCTCTGGGGTACCTCCATTCTTGAGTTCAGTGTCAGTGAAGTAACACATCCTCGACAATGATGATCCTTTGCTTTAAAGGAAGCCAGCCTTCATGAAGATTAGGCTGAATGAATGGTGTAAGGCACTTCTTTTTAGAAATAGAACTGCTCAAAATTATTAGACAAACATCTGGAGCATAGAATTGAAGTAGATAAATAGGTTTCTAATCCCATATAGACAACTTGCTTGGAGCTGCTTGACTTTCTTTGTCAGTTTGAACATAGTTCCATGTTTGCTTAGTCCTTGAGTCCAGAAGGGTTCTTCTCTTCTAAAGCCTAGCTGGAACTGTTGTTGGGCTCTACACAGAACATGAGAGCTGATAACCACAGCCATTAGAAATTCCAGAAGAGATACATATATCCTTTCAGATATGACTTCCTACATTTTTTGTTCTCTTGTAGCCGCAGTTGCTGAACTGCCTCAAAAGGCAAATTTTAAAAATGAGCCTGTTTTAATTCAATATTATCATTTTACATCTCATGCCTAAATGTTAATCTACATTTTCAAAGCAGTTTTTACTCTTCCAGGTATGGCTGCAGAGATAGATATATGCAGGGATCTTTGATCTTCCTCAAAAATAAAAAGAGAGAAAAAGGAGAGAAAAAGGAGAGAAAA